TGAAAGATGAGGTCATGGTAGCTGGTCTTCCAGAGAGCACCAACTGAGGAGGGAGCATAAGGCAAGCTGACAGGCCACATACACCCCCCACTCTCCCCACCCCCAGGTGGGATATGTGTGATATTCTTCGGGCACTGCTGGCTGCCCAAGAACAAAGGAAAGGGGAAAAACAAATGGTTAACTGATAGAGATCCTAGTCCTGCAGGACCTAAGTCTCCATCACCCCTCCAGAGTGATGTGGGAAACAAAGGCAGAAGGAAATGGCAGAAAGAACTAGCTTTCCTTATAATTTGCAGCCCATTGACAAATGCTTGAGGGTGGTGGCAGAGTAAGACATTTCTCCAGAACTCCATACTCTCTTAATGGTCATGGTTTCCTGGAAGGAAAACAACCTTAACTTGACAACAGCTAGGCCTCCAGTCTCCTTGAGTCTTCTTTAGCATGTGAAATTCTCACTGGAAACTTCCCCTGGACTTTACCTCCTCCCAACTCCATTGTATAAAACCAGTCTCTCATGTTCCTGGGGCAGCTCTTCCTGCCCGCGGGTCCTGTCCCCGTGCTTTGATAAAATCACCTTTTTGCACCAAAGATGTCTTCAAGAATTCTTTCTTGGTCGTTGGCTCTGGACCCCATGGACCCCACTATCACCACAAAAACCTCATCACCGATGAGCCCCACCTCCCGGTATCCACACCCGGTGTAACCCCCAACTCCCACAATGCAGCAGGCTTTGTCTGTGTAACCAGGAACAGAGGGAAGGCATGCCCCTCCCAAGATTGTTATAGAACACCCTGCTGCTTCCATTGTAGTCATTCCCTTGCCAGTTCTCTAGCTCTCTAACCACTCAGCTGGAGGAAGACAGTCGTCATGCTACAAGCAGCCCTCTGAAGAGCCCAGGTGGTAAGGATCTGAGGACTTTGCCCAAAAGCCTGAGAAGAACTAAGAACTCCTGCCAACAGCCATGCGAACTTGCAATCAAATCCTCCTTCAGATGACTACAGCCCTTCTGACTGCTTGTCCGTATCCTTCTGAGCCAGAAGATATATCCAAGTTGTTTCCAGATTCCGGCCCCACAGATACTATGGGGGATAATAAATATTCGTGTTAGGTTTGGGGGCTCTTGTTATGCAGCAATAGATAACTAAATCACAGGTCAAGGAAGCTCTGAGCCATTTTGCAAATTCAATAAAAAGGTTGACACCTCTCCTACAGATGCAATTTATAGCGTTTAGAACAAACATTAGCAGATACTTGGGACCTTCACTTTTCAAGATAAAAGATAAGCTCTCCCCACTTTTTTTTTTATTATTATGTGATAGGTCATTTTGATTCCCCTTTTAACTAGCCTACAATCACCTGTACAGTCTTCTGTAGATATCTTCCAAATATCTGAATGTGTCAGTTCACCCTTTTCTATCTTTGGCCAACGTCTCCTCCTCAGCGAGGCCGGTCCCAAGCACCTTACTTAAAATTACAACCCCACTTCGTCCCATTCCTGACTTTCCTTATCCCACATTATTTTTCCTTAATTCTTCTACTAATGTTACTGTGTATCTCCCCCCACCGGGCACCAGCTCTACGGGGCAGGGATTTTTGTCTTTTTAGTCATGTACGGTTCTGACGTATCCTCATTTCCTAGAACAATGCCTGGCACTTAAAAGGTGCTCAATAACTGTGGATGTGAGCTTTGGAAGCTAATTTCGTTCAAACAGCTCTTTTATTGTACCGACTGGCCTGTGTTAAGGATCACTGCTATACTTAAATTTTCTGACTCAGTAGGTTGTTAATAAACAGTAGCAATGATCTAAAAGCAAACCTCCATTTAAAAATAAAAATTGTTAGCTTGAGTGACTCACAAGAAAGGACAGAAGAGCCAGTGGCTGAGATGGGCATTGATCTGTGGACTTACTACCTAAATTAAATCCTTATCATTACATATTCTAAAAGAAGTACGTGTCATCATATGTGCCTATAAAATGATTTCATGTCTTTCCTCTTCACACTCAAAACAGATGTACGTTATTGTTTATTACCAATTTTGCAGCAAAGAATAGTATTATTCACTTTACCTAGACAAAAACTAAATACATAAATCAGATGGTGGTTCTAAAAAGTCTAAGAGGGCTATGACATCAATTCTGAAGACTTCTGGAAGCCTTGCCTAGAAAAGAGTCTCATATAAAGGCCCAGCAGAGCTGCTTTTATGGATGTGTGGCCTGTGCAGTCACACAGGACCTCATACTTAGAAGGGCCCGTTACTCGGCTTAGTGCTCTGCTGATGCTGTCTTGGAATGCTTAATCATTTATGAATAAGGGCCTTTCATTTTCGTTTTTCCCTGGACACTGCAAATTGCATATGGCTGGTCCTGAGGCCCAGAGAAGACAGTATTACTCAGTTATCACTGCCCACGGACGTAAACAGAGGTGGAATGACAAGAAGAGCATAAAACTTCCGAGCGAGACAGCCCCCCCCGGCCCCCCCCCCCACCGTGAGAACTGGAGAAATAGCAGTAGCAGTTTAGTGCTTGCTACTCAACGTGCGGCCTGTGCCATCAGCACCACCAGCAGCAGCAGCGGCGGCAGGCCCTAGGAGCTTGTTAGAAAAGCACTCCAAACCTACTGGCCCAGAATTTATATTTCTTGTGCACTTTAAACTTGAGAAACAGAGCTGGGCTGTTCCAAGAGTAATCCAGGACACCTGCGACAACGGACGTTTGAAAGGGATCCTTTGGGGCGCCTGGGTGGCTCAGTGGGTTAAGGGGCTGACTCTTGGTTTGGGCTCAGGTCTCACAGGCTTGTGAGACTGGGCACGACACTGGCAGTGTGGAGCTTGCTTGGCATTCTCCCACTCTCCTTCTCTTTCTCTCCCTCTCTCTCTGACCCTCCACCACTTGGCTCTCTCTCTCATAATAAGTAAATAAACTGAAAGAAAGAAAAAGAGAAAGAAAGAAAGAAAGAAAGAAAGAAAGAAAGAAAGAAAGAAGAAAGAAAGAGAAAGAAAGAGAAAGGAGAGAAAGAAAGGAAAGAAGGAAGGAGGGAAGGAAGGAAGGAAGGAAGGAAGGAAGGAAGGAAGGGAGGAGGGAAGGAAGGAAGGAAGGAAGGAAGGAAGGAAGGAGGGAAGGAGGGAGGGGGGA